GTAGAGAAAGGATTTAGACAATTTGACACCTTCATTTATTTAAGTTTATATGTTTTTTTAGTTGTATCATGTAAGAAAATAAAATAGAAAAGTGAGAACAAATATTGTGTATAATCATATAATCTCAAAATAAATACAAAAATCACTTTTTCAATTTCATCAATGTATTCCATTAATTAGGATAAGTGAATCCAAAATTAATCCCTATTTAGTTATATTTACTCGTTTGAATTCACAAGGTTCAATCTCTAACTTCAAAGCCATCAAATATCTATAAAAATATATTATTCTTTAAGAAAAAAATTAAAATTAATTGAATAATATAAATATAATGAATAACTATAACACATTCATAATTAGAGATAAATTAAATAAATATGAAATATAATTAGAGCATAATTGGAGATAAGCTAAATAAATAAATATAAAAAAAAATTAGTGTGAAACCGATATAATTAAATAAATAAATATAAAAAAATTTATACATAATTATAAATAAATATAAATTATTAGTATGTAACAAGAGATAAATAAAAAGCATTAATACTTGACTAAAAATAAATTAAATATAAATGAATAAATAGAATAAGACGAAAATATTTTCCTCAATAATCATAATTCTAGAATAAAAAAAATAAAATAAGGTTTAAGATACCTCTTAAAAAAATCATAATTTCAAATAAATAAAATAATAAATGTTTCTCTTTCCTTATCTTAATTATTATAGATTATATTATAATTTAGAGTTTCCTTATCTTAATTAATTATTATAGATGATATTATAATTTAGAGTTTAAGATTTAGAGTTTAGATGATATTATAATTTCAGAGAAGATCCTTGTATATTTTCCCTCTCTTCCCCTTTCTTTTCCTTTTTTTTTTTTTCTCTTCCTCTTTTTCTTTTTTTTTTTCACCCCTCTTTGTTCCCCTTTTCACCTCTCCTAACTCCAATTTATAATTTTTTTTATCTTCACATTAAATGGAATGCTATCTCTTCTTCACAAGACATAAAGCTTTTTATTTTCTTTCTTTCTTTTTTAATTGATTAATTTAATTCGCATTTTCTTTAATAATAATTTAAATAATAATAATAATAATATTTTTTAATAAATAAATTATTCTTTTATTATAATAAGTATTTAATAAATTATACATGATTAAGATGTTACACTTATTATTATTATTAACAAGAAAAAAATATATAGATCAAAATTAGAATAAATTTTTATATAGATTAAATATATATATATATATATATATATATATATATATTACTATGATTAAAAAATAATTAAATAAAAATTATGTGAAGTCAATAAAAAAAATTTTCCCAATTTGACAAGGATGACTAATTATAAAATAAATAAACAAATTTTATTATTTGAGTAATATTTAATCGAATACTATTAAGTGATATCTCTAACTGGTACTAATTATGAGGTTTAAAATCAAACCAATAAAAAATAATAAAATTTGGTTTAAAAAATAATACTGATTAAATTCAAATTTTCATTAAATTCTTTTATATTTAGCTAATATTTAAATTGAAAAAAAAATCAAATAGTATTATATTTAAATATAAAATTATGTATTTAGAGTTAATTAATAATTAATAAACACATATATATAGAGAGAGGAAAATTATTTTAATATTTGATTGAAGTTTATTCATAATATATTTATATTCATTATATAAAAAATTTATATAATATTTAACATTTTTAATAAAAAAATTAAATTTTTTATTATAACAAAATTTGATCCAAATGGAACCTCATGATTGGTTTAATTTGATTAATATTTTATATTAAAATAAAACTGAGAAAGAAAAAAAATATATATATATATATATATATATATATATATATATATTATTTTTTTAATGTTTAATTAGGGGATTTTCTTTTTCAATGGAGTTGATAATCTCAAATAAGGTCTCAATTTTTGGATTCCATGTCAAATACAATCTCAAGTTACAAACTTTATGAAAAAAAAAAAAATACATGATTGAAAATGAAGACCCAGCGTCAACCAAAATTTTCATGAAGATTAGTTATCGGTAAAACTGATAGATACTCTACGTGGATGAATATATAAAAATATTAAGAGAAATATATATATATATATATATATATATATATATATATATATATAAAACATTCTGTTGGGAATTTTGTACCAACAATGAATATAATCTCTTAATTAGATATTAAAATAGGCTTCGAGTAATGAGGAGACTAACAAATTTGAAGAAATTTTTTTTATTCATTTAATTTATTATGATTACGTTAAATGACTTTTGTTACTCTATTTTAGAAATAATAATTATTTTTAAATAAAAATAATATTATTTTATTAAAATGTATTTATATAATAATTTATATATACCAAAATATTATATTTAAAATTAAAATTAATTTTATTTAAAATTATTATTTTTTATTTCTTTAATCAAGTCAAAATGAACTATTAATCCATCCGTGTAAAATTATATCAAACCTAAACAAAATATGGGTCAATGGTCTTTATCGTACTTTAAAACGAATACTTTTTGAGTTATTCTTTGAATATTAAAAAATAAATAAATTTTGAAAGTAAAGATTTATTTAAAATAAAAATGATTGTATTGATCATTTTGCCTAAAAAAATATGGTATATTTATAAATTCAAGTCGAGGATAATTTTTTTTACTCACTTGTTTTACCGTATCAAATTTATTATCAACTTTACTTCTTAGGATACATAAAATATATTATTATAATTAATTTGTATATATTTTTTATTTTTACTCTTTAAATATATCTATTTTTTAATTTATATTATTTTTAAAAAGATATAAATTATAATAACTATTTTTACTTGAAGTTATATTATTATTCATTATTCCGTGATGATTATGGAATTAAATAAAAACTGTTAACAAAAAGGCTTACATGGATTTGTGTTGCGCAGTGTGATAGATGGATGGATGGAGAAGTAAAGAAAGAGGTGATGAGTCTTTTTGTGGCGAAAACAAATCTCCCTCTCAAAAGCAAATTCCCTGCCGGAACATATATTCATGCACTTTTCATCAAATTTGGGAAATTATTCTTCTTCACATTCATCTCAACCAACTCTCTCTTTCGTTACTTCACTGCCAATTCACTTCTTATTCTTCTCTCTATTCAAAACTTTCTTTATATATACATCATTCCTAGACAAAATTTAAATGTGAATTTAAGCTTCATGACAAAATTTAAGCTTCATGACAAAATATAATCATTAAAATTTAAAACTTTGAAAAAAATATAATTTTTATGTGATTTCAGTCTTAATATTTTAAAAAAATCACAATTTAAATCCAATTTACATATATTTTATTTCGATTATTTTATTAAACCTTAGGTTTAACGTATTCACTCAAGATACCATTAAAATATTTCAAAAATATCAACAAAAGGAACATATACAAAATTGAGAATTAGATTCAAATTACTGGTTTTCTAAAATAGGTAAACTACTGTACTGTCATTAAAAAAAGACCCAAATCATGGATCATTGTTTATTTTATTTTATTTTAAATAAAGAAAGAACAAAATTAAGGCTTACGATTTTACAATCGACCCAACTATTATTTATAATCATGGAATTGTAAATATTTAGAAATATGTAAGTCTCCTTTGCGAAAGAATCTAAGAATTCCAAGACATGTCGAGATCAAAATCAGAATCTATCTTCTTTAGCTCGTGTGAACATGAATGCCCTCACTTTTTTTTATTAATTAATATTCTTTTTCATTGCACAATTATAAAATTATGATATCCCAAAACAATCAATTAGATTCTCTATACAGAAGGGACACAAAAACATATTTATGCCCCAAAAACATTTAGTTATCAATTTCAGGGCATATGGAATTTGTTTACTACAAACTGTAAAATTTAATTTTAAATATATTAACAAGTACATGTACTATTTGAGTATTTTTAATTATATGAAAAATTAAAATTGTGAATTAGGACAACATAAGAGAAGATTATTTTTATAAAAATATAACTTAAAATATAAATAAAACACATGCTTTAGAACTTTTAGTTTTGAAACATATTTTTAGAAAGTTGTTAATTGATAGAAGATTGTTTTTCTCTGGTTATCTGCAAATATTCAATAATATTTACTGAATCACAATCGATGAAATTTAAGTATATATTGATAAAAGAGTTAAGAAATAAAAAATAATTAAGGATATTTATTGCAAAGCGAGGAGAGACATGTATTTAAGGAAATTAATTATCTCGCTCTGGAAAATGTTGTCTAAAATTGATATTACAGAATCTAGCAGAGTCGACTTAAAGATGAAAACTTTAATAATTTGTATTGTCGTAGAATCTATCTATAATATCAGAAGATGGATGTTGGTGTCTACCATGTATTCTAGTGTTTACTTTGGTTTCTTAAATTAAACAAAAAAAAAAATTCATTTTAACTCCTAAAAAATTATAGAGTAGACTAAATTGATCTTTATATCATTATACTAGTACATCAGTGACTGGTGAGAAACTGTGAAAAACACCATGTTGACCAAACTTGTCACAATTATTGACAAAAACCAATTTGGTTTAATAGAGATGAAAGTGGAATTTTCTTGAACTTAAGAGGGACGAAATTGAAACTTAAGACATTGATAAGAAACCAAAATTCTCTTTTAGTCCTACAAAAATGAATAATATATCAATTCACATAATGAAATTAGGGTATAAGAAAAGGTTATACATTTGATTGTTTTGGTTGAGAAAAGCATGAGGCCATTATTAGGAGAAGAATAGAGAGAATAGAGAAAAGGGTGATGGGTGAGTGTGAAGAAGCATCTTGTAAAATAGATTATTCTATGCTACTCCTAGTGAGATTATTCTATCCTAGTAATTGAAAAATCAGCAAAGTAGCCTAAAAAGCATGTAGGATAGCATATTATAAGCTGTAGATCATGTCCTAAATCTTTCAACAGTTGTTAGTTAGGCATCATGATTTCCTTAGCAGATGTCTATCATGTAGTCACTGCCACTGTCCCATTATATGTGACCATGGTTCTAGCCTACATCTCAGTCAAGTGGTGGAAGCTCTTCACCCCAGAACAATGTTCAGGCATAAACAAATTTGTGGCCAATTTCTCAGTCCCTATTTTGTCATTCCAAGTCATTTCCTCCAACAACATTTACAAAATGAGCCTCAAACTCGTGTATGCTGACTTTGTTCAGAAATTGCTTGCATTCCTGGTCTTCACAGCAATCATTAAGATCAAGGGCAGAGGGGGTTTGAAGTGGATCATAACTGGTCTCTCACTCTCCACTCTTCCCAACACTTTGATCCTTGGAATTCCACTCATGAAGGCTATGTATAGGGATCAAGCTTCTCTTCTCCTACCCCAGATTATTTTCCTCCAGAGCATGGTGTGGTACAATATATTGTTGTTTCTCCATGAGTTGGATGCTGCAATTCCTGCAAGGACCATGCCTGTTGCTGCACCACCACCACAAGACACAGGTGAGCATTTAGATTTTGTTAGTTTGCATGTTATGGGGAAAGAGGGTTATGTAGTATTTATGGTATGAGTGGAATATAAAATAGGGTGTGAAAAAAAAATAATAGAACAAATATATATAGCTATTGATAAATTCTTCATTTTTCTCCTTTTCAATTTTCTTGCATGTATACCTAGGACATCCTAATCCAAAAAAACTAATTTTGATTACTTGATGTATGATATTATATACCCTTTCTTCGTTAAGTATTTATAAATTATTCTTTTTCAGTCAACTGAAGTAATCTATGACAATCAAAGTGGGGCCTGAACCTATTTTAATTTTCTTTGCTTTTTCTATTCTTTTCTTTCTTTCTTTCTCTCCTCGATCAAATCCATTTGAATACTTATTCCTCTAAAATGTAATTAAAAGTTGACAAAATATTATACTGCCAATGGATCAAACTAGTTAAACTGAGTTCTGTCATTGAAATGCCTGAGCTTCATGTTAGTAGTCTTGTGTCCATATTTGACATTCACCTTAACACTCAAATTTATGACTGCATTTTAAATAAGAGTATTTTTGTTAAAGAAAATCATTTCATCGTTGCAATTTGTAGTTAAAGGTGTTTATTACCTTAAAAAGAAAAATGCAACACAGAGTGATTATATAAAACAAAATTTAGACACAAGGTTTGCTGTAAAAAGCATATTATGAATGTAGTACATTGCTATTGCTTCTATGAAAATGGTATAATTTATGTATGTTGTTCCATTCTTGGTCTATGCTTAAAGGAGAATCTGAGACATCTCAGGAGATACAATCAAAAGAAGAGGAAGAGGCAGAGCATAGAACGCAGAGTAAAACGAGGATGTTGCTCATTCTTATGAAAGTAGGGAATAAATTAATCATTAATCCTAATACCTATGCAACTTTCGTAGGTCTTATTTGGGCAAGCATACACTTCAGGTAAGCACACTGATGAGTCACAATTCATATAGCTAGAAATCATTATGAGTAAATAACTAAGAATGTAAATGTTTCTTACATTTTCATCCATTCAACAATTTTCATGGTAAAAGTCATATGAATAATGATTTCACATTGGTTGAAAATATTCAAAAGCTTATGCTAACAGTGCATAGAAAACAAACTCTTATTATAATTACACACAACTAAGGAAGAAATAATGATGGTTACATAAATCTATTGCAGGTGGGGAGTGGATATGCCGGATGTTGTGAGTCAGTCAATAGAAATATTGGCCAGTGGAGGTCTAGGCATGGCAACTTTCAGCTTAGGTAAGAGAAATTGATCATTTGATTCCTGTTATTAACTAATGTAATAATAAATCAGGAGTAGGATTATGACTTAAAAACCCTTGTTCACCATTCCCTGAATGAAATTTCAACAGGTCTATTTATGGCATCAAACAACAGAATCATAGCATGTGGACCAAGGATGACAATGGTGGCAATGGCCCTGAAATTTCTTGTTGGACCTGCCATAATGGCTGTAGCCTCTATTGTGATTGGATTAAGAGATAGAATGCTCAAAGTGGCAATTATTCAGGTGATCATTACTTTCTTTTTTGTAGTGTTCACTCCTTTGACAAGTTAAGTTGAAAATAATCTTCTCTTAAAAGGAAGAATGGAAAGGTACTTGATATTTATAAAATGGTTTTGTATGTGCAGGCAGCACTACCCCAAGGAATTGTTCCTTTTGTTTTTGCTAGAGAGTATAATGTCCATCCAGGCATTTTAAGCACTGGGTCAGTAAAACTTTTTAGCATATTTCGTTGACAACCTTTGCATATATATGATAACATTTGTTGCTTTTTCGGTCACAGGGTCTTGCTAGGAATGCTCATGGCCTTGCCTGTGGCATTGACCTACTATGTCCTCTTGTCACTCTTCTTCTGATACATTATGTTAGTTATATACCAGAAACAATGACAAAAGAGTTTGCATTGGTGTAAAACTAACAGCTTAAACATAGTTGTATATTGTCAGTATTGATTCATATATAATTAGAAAGAAAATAACGAATATATTTATTACAAATTGCATTTTAATCTATCTTAAATGGATGAAGTGACTCGTCTAATGTGTTTGAAGTAGACCGTTGACTAGGACTTTTGATGGATTGAAGTCTAAGTTCGCCTGAAGTTAAGTGACACTGTTCTTGAGATAGGAAAAGCATTATGACACTCGAGAACGCAAGAATTACCAAGTTAAGTGACGATGTGTTGCTATATGGATTGGACTCAATTCGTAACATGTATCGGCAACAGAAAATCAATAATATTTACAACAAAGAAGACAACTTTTTCATTTCATATGATACTTCAACAAGGAAAAGATATATATCAAGAGAGAGAGAAACTTTAAGAGTTACTAATATTTAAAAAAAAAAAAAAAAAAAACTAACGATCTTTAGAAAAAAAAACAAAAAGGCAATTCATCTTTAAGTCTTAGATTACAAGTAAATATTTAATTTGGTTTTATTTAATATATATATATATATATATATATATATATATATATATATATATATATATATATATATATATATATTCCATCCATAGAATGAGTAATTCATAGTTATACCAAAATATCTATAGAAACTTTTATATTTAAGGGTGATACCCATAAATATTTTTAATTTTTAATTTCAAACACTATAATTTAAAAATTATTCCTTTAAATATATATTTTAATAATTTTTTATTAAAAATATGATTTAAATAAAATTAAATCATCAAGTATTAATATAAATAAAATTAATTTTTATAAAATATTAATTCTAATAAATTATAATATAAAAATAAATTTGAATAATATTAATTTTAAAAAATAACTTCAATTCATAAATTTAAATAAAAAATACAAATCTATAAATTTTAAATCTAAATCATTCTTCAATAATTAATATTTTTTAACTAATAACTTTATTTTAATAATTTTATTTTAAAAAATACTAAATAAATTTTTTAGTAAATATCAAATATCCACAAATTAAATATCATGATACTCAATGCCTCATTAATAATCGAATTATTAAACTGTGACTATCCATTTAACATAGTATTTATAAATTTTATGATAAAGATTTTTTTTACAGTATCCATGACAGATTTCATTAATAACTTGATCAGTATTTTTTTCTTTTGTATTAATGATCTTTAATTTAAATACTTTAATATCATAAATGCATTACAAACAACACATTTACATAAATGACATGGACCACTAGTCAATTTTGCACTTGCTTAGCAAAATTCAATCTATTAATTCAAAGGTAAGAACCAGACATCACGCACGAGCTTTGGATGTGTGAAATTCAGGTAATTGTTCATTAGATCACTGATATACAAGGTGCTTTTTAAGCAACAGCTAGCCAAACCATTTACTACTAAAGCATCAGTACAATATAAATATAAATTTCTCCAGCATACTCAAAATCAATCAACAATTGACAATTTGAAAGCACAAATGTTGAAAGCAAGGGGGTGATCAACTGCAGCGTGAATACTGTTTAGGTACTCTAGCCAGATGATTGCTTACAATAGTCTATCAAGAACTCATTAAGGAACAAGAAACCAAAACATTAAGAAATTGATGCAGTTAAACAGTTTTACTTCTGCAAGAAATAAAGGGCTTTTCTTTTATGTACCCTGATTACTAACCAGAAGGCTGGATCTCAGGGGCTCTGTTTCAGACAGATATCCTTATCCCATCCATTTATTTTTAGTTCCGATTTCTATTACATTCTAAAGATTTTATTGTAAGATGTGTACTCTACTTATGTGCTGCTAATACCGATATGAGTGGTATGTGATCAACTAGAGCCATAATACTGGAAAGGTAAAGGAAAGATAAACCCAAGAAAACAATACCGATCACAGCATGAAAAAGTATGGTTGAACTGGAGTAAATAGTTCAAGAATCTGAATACTTAATCCATCAGCATACCTCTCTTGTACAATGGTACATGTTTTGTTTTTGTGTTTTCTTAAAATCATACAAACTCCTGTTCTGTCCTCCACTAGTGAGAGCATCAAAATTGCTTCCTTTTGTTCTTGAAAAGTTTGTCCCGTCTTGCATAAACATAAGAGAGAGCAAGGAATGCGGACGCAGAAACAGAGACGGAACCCCAGGGAAACGGAGGATCCTTGAAGCACAAAAGGGAAACTTCTATTTCCTGCGATGCGTGATAGACGATGGAGTGAATGGCATAGAGATCATGATCAGAAGACCTCAAGTAAAACAGAGCCATCTCAAAATCCAAATGCGACATTGCAGAAACAGCCTTGTTCAGCTTGTACTTGAAAAGGTTCCACCGCTGGACAAACTCCACATGTTGCCTCTGCTTAAGCAGATTCTTTGCCCCACCATGAGTCTCAATGCTCTGAAGAACATCAATCGCACTCGTTACGCTGTAATTCAGTGATGTCAATAGAACATTCCTCCTGGCAGCATCCTTCTGCACAAAGGACAAACTCATCATCTCAGAAAACGGCCCGAACGGCGTCTGTCCCATACTCCACGTATAATCCACCAAAGTCTCATTATGCTGGGGGCTCCAATTTAAATGCGTCGGCGACACCCCCCACATGCTCTGCAGAATCGACCCAATAATAGGCCGCTCAAGCTTCCTCGTCTGCATGAACACATTCCTGCCATTGCAACTATAATCACTCACAGTCTGCGTGTTCCTCGTCCTAACAGCAATCACCATGTCCTTAAACGCCACCGACTGATGATAACGGTCGAGCAGCAACAACGAAGTGTAATCCAAGTCAAAAACATAAACAGGTACAATCCTACTAAAATCCTCCTCCGGCACCCCAGCCAGCTTCCTCAACTCATCACCTGAATCAGACAAAATACGGTGCAACCGTTTCGAATCCAAATACTCACTCACAAGCAAAGTATAATTATCAAACAAAAACCTAGAGGTATACGAATTAGTTGACCTCGCAATAGCAAAAGAGCAAATCGGACACTCCGAAAACCTAATTTCATAATTCTTGAAACTCAAACTCTGATCTCCTAACAACAATCCATTATCATTTCCATTATTGTTGTTATCAGTGTCAAACCTAAAGCTCTTCTCGATTAATTTCCAATCGAGGCCGGAGAAATCCTTGCTACCGATATCGCTGTGGATGTGGATGAACTGGACGGTAAGGGAATTCTCGAATGGGACTGGTATCCGTAGGGAGGGAGCGAGGAAGACGTGGTAGGCGCTCCAGACGAGGGAGGCGAGGTCGGCGGCGAAGGCCTTGTGGGATTTGGGGCGGCCGTGAAGGGCGGCGAGGGGGTGAAACTCGCCGCGCGGGATGACGCCGTCGCCGGAGATTGCGGGGCCGTAGTTGACCGGACCGGCGCGAAGGTCGATCCAGAAGAAGCGATCAGCGGAGGTGAAGAAGGTGCCGGAGCATTTGGTGACTGCGGCAGAGGATTCGCCGGGGGAGTAGGTGTAGGCGTAGGGTTTGGGATCGGAGAGGGGAGGAAGGTTGAGGAGGTAGAGGTGGACGTGGTTAGGGTTAGGGTTATGTTTGCGAAAGTGGTTTTGGATGATGCTGTCGATGGAGGAGTGGGGGATGGAGAGGAGTTGGGAAGAAAGAGAGGAAGGAGTGGAGCGAAGGTGTGAGGTTAGGGTTTGGGCGAGGAGAGAGGTGAGAGAGGAGAGGGATTGGGAAGGGGTTATGTGGAGGTGGAGGGTGTGGGAGAGGGAAAGAGAGTGGGAGAGGGGGTGAGAGTTGAAGGGGGTGATGACGTGGAAGGCGGTGGGGGCGGCGGCGGATAGATAGGCGGAGAGGAGGGAGGGGGCGTCGGGGGGGAAGTCGCCGATGAGGTGGAGGGAGAGGGAGATGGGTAGGGAGAGGGAGAGGAGGGAGGACGCGGAGATGTCGGAGAGGAGGGAGAGGGGATTTTTTATGGAGGGGGGAAGCGAGAGGAAGGAGTCGTTCGAAGCATGAGGGTCGATGCGAGATTGGTGGCTCAGGAAGGAGTCTAGGCCGATTATTGGCGCAGCGGCGGACGCCGTCGTAAGAAGGAGAAGGACGGCCAACGCCAAGAGGGCGGTGGCGGAGGATGACGACATGGTACGGTGTAGGGAGCTGAGTGAGAAGTGTGGACTGTCACGGCTCCATTTAGGGAGTGAGTGGGAAGAATTGAGTGAGGTCGATGACTAAAGATAGTTGTTGTTTTGTTTTGTTTTAGAAAATACAAAAACATTTTTTTTTTTACAGCTACAAAATGTTTATCTAAATAATTAGACTACTGTTTTTTAATTCGTTAAAATATACAAATAAAATTGTTTTGTATCATTATATCAAACGTGATTGAAAGAAGAAATCCAGAACGGACAAATCAAGTTCTTTAAAAAAAATAATCGAACAATTTTAGTAAAGTGTTCACTTTTAAATAATTTATAATTTTTTCTTAAATAAAATTCAAAGCTGAGACTTCGGTTTAAAAAAATAATAATGTTTTTAACTTTTATATTTATTAAAATAATAAAGTTTTGGATTTTCATGAACAATTAAAAATACATTTTGTTGTATTAAAATTTTGAGACTAAACATATTAGACTTTTGTGAAAAATGAATTAATATTTTGAAGACCGTTAAATTAAAATTCAAAATTTAAAATCATGATGGACAAATTCAGATTGAAAGGTTCAGATCTTGAAACATATTTTACATTTTATTTATTGAGATAAAATATCGACATCAATAGAGGAGTCCCAAAATTTTGATGTCAGTTAGTATCAAGATTTGTAGCATGGTTGAAGTCAGTCCCTGGAGCACAGAACACCACAATCTCCAAAAGGGATATCCAATGTAAGAATGTAAGAATTTTCAAAGAGTTGTTTTACTTGTTAAACAACTCTCCTTTAATTCTACTTAAAAGAGTAATTGTTAAACTAATCTCATTTAATGTTACTTAAATAATAAGAATTTTAAACAATTCTTAATAATTCATTATTTTATATATTTTTTATATATTATTTTAATATTTTTTATAAAAAATAAATATATACATTAAATAATTAATTACTTTAATATTTTAATATAAAAATAATATAAAATACATAATATTTAAATAAGTATAATAAAAATCAAATAATATTAGAAAATATCCTCTGTAAAATTAATCTTTATTATTTTTTTCAATTTTTTGTCAAATATGTTCTACTAAATCTACTTGAAGTTAGTGGTGAGTATTTCTATCTTAAATCATTGTTCTTATTTGAAAGTGTGTAGATAGAATAAGGATTTAAAGATATATCAATAGTTGACATGTCATTTTCCCTAATATCATAATCAATATGATTTTGATAAGTATGTCGTTTGTTCTCAACAATCATATTATGTAAAATGATATATGCATAAATTATGTTATTTAATGTATGAGCATCCAAAAACGTATATGACCATGTATAATTACAAATTAAGATTGGAGGACTTCAAATGCATGTTCAACATCTTTTCTTGCTGACTCTTGTTGTTAAGCAAATAATTTTCTCTTTTGTCCTTGTGACATTGAAATAGTTTTCACAAATGTGGAAAACTCTAGATAAATACCATTTGCTAAGTAATATACTCATATCATATTGCGTTTTATTCACTGTGTAGTACATCGCAGGTGCAAAACCTGACATAAATTCATTAAACACATTAGATGCATTTAACACAGTAATATCATTATTTGACCCTATAGTACCAAAAATGCATGTCAAATCAAATCCATTAGTCTTGTGATGCACAACTTCGACAATAATTGTCAGGTTAACATGATCACCTTCACAAAATTGACATTTTCATTCCCAATGCATGTAATCAATTGATCCTAACATACATGGAAAGTCACGTGTGACTCCAATTTGTAGTAGTCGATCAATGTCTTCATTGTTAAGCCTCCTTAAATACTTATTTTCAAATATTGCACAAGTGTCCGATACAAATCGTTGTAAGCATTCTACTGCAGTACTTTCACCAATGTGAATATATTCATCCACATTATCAGCAGGTGAGCCATAAGCCAATATGCGAATAGTAGCAGTGCACTTTTGCAAAGGTTATAGATCTCTTCTTCATGTTGCATCTAACCTTAGTGTAAAGTAATCATCGTAATTGTTAAGGGCTTCCACAATTTTGATAAAAACCTTCATTTGCATACAAAACCTTCTTCAAAATTTAGATTTCGTATATACTAGATTTCAGCAAAATAGTCATTGAACAATTGATCTTCTTTATCTGTCATCACCATTGTTATTGACTTGCTGTCGGTACTCAAGTAGTAACCTCGTGATTTCTTCATCATGGTTATCTTCGAATTCTCCATCTATGACTTGATCCAACAATGCATCTAAATCAATGTTTTCAAATTTCATTGTATGGATAATTAAAGTGTTTGAAAATTGAGAATAATATTGTAATACTATAAGATATGAGACATTGCATGACATTCCAAAACTATATATAGATTTGTAATGGCTAGTTTTATAACGGCTAGTTTTTATAACGGCTAATTTTACAATGGCTAGTTTTACAACAACTAGTTTTTACAGTGACTAATTTTCATTTGTGCATGACTAATACATTTTTCAAACAAATACAATTAATTAGCATAATGACTAATATATATAAAATCCTCGTTTTTGTCTAATATAGTTAAAATATTTTTCGTGATCTTCATGTTGCTTCTCAAACATGTTAGTCATGTCTTTTATGAGAATTTCATACTCCAAACGCATTTTTTGTGACTTCTTTAACTCAATCAATTCATCAAAATTTGAAAAAAATTTTTATTGCATTTTCTATGCCAAATAAATCAATTGGGGAGTAGCACTTGCACTGGCTTTTCCTTTGTTCTTTCTCTTGGCTGGCTTTTGTCTTATGGGACGAGATATTGGTGATGTTGTATCAAATTCTTCAACTTCTTACGATGTCTCTGGGTTATAAGATGATGAGTATGCGCCTGAAGTAGAAATTTTACATCTTTTTTAAGAATCATCCATAAATGTTGATTGTCATTTTGGTTCATCTCTTGACAATAACCAAACATATTCAAATTCAAATTTTTTTTCCTTTTCAAATCTTCTGTGAAAATCTTATGTACGAATGACATAACATCTTTCTCGGCCCAACCACTTTTCCTTTGATTGGTAACATGCATTAAATTTTTGAACTGTAGGGTAAAGTTTATTATATTGAGATTTTAATTAACTTACTGACCTCTTCGTGAAAATGTTATGTTTGTCATTATTATTGTATGCTTCTTTGATTTTGGGTTAATGATTTATCAACTCCAATAATTGGATCCTTTGACACATTCAATCATGATCGAATAAGAATCAAATCTTCTGGTATTGAGAATGGTACACAAGGTTTCCTCTGAGACATATTTTCACCACTTCCATCAAATTGGATATTATCAAGTCCAATCACAAAAGGAGGTTCTATGTTAGATAAAGGAGGAATGTTACTCATATTTGATGTCATTGGAGGTGGTGAAAACATAAAAAATGATGGTGGCTAAAATTTTGAGAATTTTCACCGAGAAGAGATGAATGATTTTATAATAATTATAATAATACTGGTAATTAAATTGATTGGGATCCATAATTGGAGAAGAAGAAAAATGAGGAAAAAAAGGATATATGAATTTTGTTTTACCACTGATGGAGATTTTATAGTGTAAAAATAATGCAAAGCAAAGTTTCAACAGTAAAAAAATTCATAACGACTAGTTTTTTGGTGAGTAACGATTACATTGTAACAGTTATCTTTCTCCATGTGCATTCTCCTCCCTCATCTCTCCTTTCTCCATCTTCCTTATCCATTTTCTTTTTTCCGTCTCACCTCTCTTCCTCCCCCTCACCTCTCTTCCTTCCCCTCACCTCTCTTTCTCCATTTCAGATCTCCTCTCTCAAATATGTCTTCCCCTTTCCCGCATCCGCCTCCATGTTGCCTCTATTTCGCCTCTGCATCAGCCTTCGCATCCCCCTGTTGTGTCCTTTCGTGTCTCATCTGCATCCTCATCCATGTCCCCTGTTGTGTCCCCTCTGCATGTGACTTCACCTCTGCGTTTGCCTCCATTGTTTGCCTCCGCGTTCGTCGCACTATCATTACCTCCGCGGTTGCTACCGCTGCATCTGCAGCCGCTACTACATCTATGATTGGTGATGCATTAATAATTTTGAAATTGATTCTAAAACTATTTTTTCTAAATTTATTATTATTATTGTTGTTGTTGTTGTTTATGGTTGATAATTTTGAAAATTTTGGTTGAGGATGTTTTGGATTGGTGAAAAATTATGGATTGATGAAGATGCTTTTGCTCTGTTTTGCTTCCTGATTTGGTTGCGTTTGTTTGTATTTGTATTTTGGTCACTGTTTTTGATGAAGATGATTTTGCTATTGTGTTTTTTGAAGATTGATGAAAATATTAATATTTTATTTGACATAACAGTTGTTTCCCCAAGCATTTTTCTACTAATATGGAGTAATTCTGCATGCCATGTCATTTTCTTCAATGGAATAGTTGCTTGAAGCAACTAGGGAAAATTTTGAAGCATTCTCCGTTGGAGATGCTCTAATTCTACATTCATCTACGACCATAGCATCACAGCCAGATCCAGCATCACACCTGTGTCCACGTTCCATACATTTATGTGAGCATTTTTAGGCCCCCTGTAACTACTTTGTATGGATCCATGTACACTAAAGTTACTTGTCCACAATGTCCATCCAACTCGACTATAGGTTCTGGTTTTAATGATTCTTGATTTCTCCTAATATCGCAAAGCGAATTTTTTACATTTTAAAAAACCCCAATTTTATGTAAGAGTCGAATTTTAAAAAAATTACTAAAATTGGTCAAAGAGTGTTTGAATACACAATTTCAAGTAAAGAAATTGTGATTTTAGTTGTAGTATTTTTTTTCTTAATTTCTTTCAAAAATCATGCCAAGTATCACAATTTTCACTTTATTTTTAATTTTTTTTATTAAAGTCATGCTTACTCTAATTGATTGCACATAATGGACACTCCTTCGTACATTAAACACTTCAAACATTTCTTCCAAAGCAATGTG